GCAGCAGCAGCAGCAAGAAGAAATGAGGCCAAACATCGTTTCCGAGGTAAATCTCTCAACTCTCCGATCTAGCTCCCTTTCCCATTCGTTTTTAACTTCAACTTCGCATATTTCTCAGATAGTTATAGTTTTCGCTTAATGTTTTGTTTGGTTGCTGAGAAAATGCGGAAAATTTCGAATCTCGTTAAGTACAGCACGAGGTATTTTTTTTCTTGGAAAACTGGCAATATGTTAAACAATGGAATTTAGTTGCTTTGAGCTTCTCAATTTTTGTTGCTAAAAATATGCAGATACTTTTTTTGTTGCTAAAAATGGGCAGATATTTGATTTACATTTGTACTCTGCTTTCATGAGTGATCTGGTAGGAGTGTCTTGCTTCTTCTTCTTCTTCGTTCTTTATTGTACATATATACTTTCATGTTTGAGCTTGTCTTTGTTGTGTTCAGCTGCAACATCATGGAACTTAAATAGACCATTGATTGCTTTATTTAGTTTTTTATGTTGAAATTAGTATTTACTTGGACATTCATGGCTTGTGTGTTTGTTTTTATATCTAATTAATTTTGTGTTCTAGTAAATTTCATATTGATTCTATGTTTGGGTGTATAGGCAGGACTGCAAACGAGGTTGGGGCAATGGTGGGAGAGCATTCCTTTTCTTACTTCTGCGGTGGTTGGCGTGTGTGGAACTATTTACTTGATCTGTCTCCTGGTTGGATATGACTCCTTTTACGAAATATGCTTTTTGCCCTCTGCAGTTCTATCAAGATTTCAAGGTAAATTGTTTGAAACTGAAATCTGACATGATTGGTACATTCATTGGTCAGTTTTGAATTTATTAGTTATTGGAAAGAAGTCCAATTTTTCCAGCCTCTTTCCTGGGGTTAAACATGCCCTTCCCTGCCCCTCATTCTCACACTATTATTCTTGATGTTTCACTTCTGGATACTTTTGAGGATCGTGCAACTTAACATCTTCTGTTCTGATTTCTATAATTTTGATGATGCTACTAAAATTTTACTTTGCCACAGAGCAGAGGTCCATCATTTTTTTTTTGTTTGTCAAACATCATTTCAAGTTATGTTCAAGTTCACATGATTTTGGTAATAGACCTTATGATTTGTAGTCCTTTATACTAATAAACAAATTAAGATTATTGTATTATGTTTTATATTATTCTGGTGTTGTCACTATTTCGCCAATATTGGAGATAATTTGTTGCATGAATGTGGAGGTTTGAAATTATAAGATTAATTAAGTGACTTTAACACCATTAGTACTGCTTAGCTGTTTTGGTTGCTCCCTTGGGTTCTTTTGTGTATAAGTCCAGCACACTGGCCTAGAAACCTGCCAGTAGTTTCTTCGATTTAGTATTGCCCTAGATCGTGATCTTTTATGATCAAGCTACAACCTGTATTTTAGTCCCTCTATTATCAAGCTACAACACAATCTTTGTGTCACCTGCCTGGCCCAATTTGAAGCCTCGAATAGAGAATTGAACAGCTGCTCGTTTTGATCTCTCTTTTTTTTTCGTCAATCAAAAGCTCAATTTAGCTTATGTTTAATAATCAACAAAAATTATTTGGGTGATTTGTTATGTTAATAGATAAAAATAATAACCCTTTATTGTATGCAATCTGACACATCTCATGGCCACTTTCTGTTCTCCATTTCAGTCTACAGGATTTTCACCTCCATTATCTTTCATGGTTCAGTGCTTCATGTATTGTTCAACATGATGGCATTGGTTCCTTTGGGTTCTGAGTTGGAGAGAATCATGGGATCAGTCCGCATGTTGTACATAATCTTTCTATTGGCCATAAGCAATGCACTATTTCATCTTACGATTGCGCTTTTGGTGGCCTATAATCCCATTCACTCTGATCCGTTTCTCATGAATGAATGTGCAATAGGCTTCTCAGGAATCTTGTTTTCTATGATTGTGATAGAGACAAGTCTGAGTGGACACCAGTCTAGAAGGTTGGGTTTTCTAATGTTTAATTTCAAATGTATTACATACCATGATTTTGTTTTTTCACTGAGTGAGAATTTTGCAAATGCTATCTTTTCCCTAACCTAGAATAATTAGATATTCCGAAGCTTTCATGTATTTGATCATACAAATGGGTGCTAAGACGTCCACAACATACACAGCTGCACATTAGAATTCTTTTCCCTGTTTTCTTTCATTCTTGACAAATGTATTGGGTTCTACTAACTCACAAACTTTTCTCTCTGCAGTGTCTTTGGACTCTTTAACGTACCTGCTAAATGGTAATTACAGTAACATGCTTATGTGATGTCTAATTCTGTTCATTTTACTTCGCCATTTTTGGTAATATTTTGACATATTTACTTAAATATCTGTTTCAGGTATGCATGGATCTTGCTGGTAGTGTTCCAAGTTGTTATGTCAAATGTTTCTTTACTGGGGCACCTATGTGGCATTTTGTCTGGCTTTGCATGTAAGTTTTCTCCCATTCTAATATTATTCCCCTCTTCTATTTTGCTATGCCATGTTATACGAGGGAGTTGGTGACTATGCTATGTCTTGTCTTTACAGATACTTACGGATTATTCAATTTCCTCATTCCTGGACCATCCTTCTATTCTACAATTGAGGCCTCCTCGTTGCTTGTAAGTAAACTGCTTTTGATGATCGATCAATTTGGAAACTTACTATTATTCTTTTATCTTTTCCAACCTATGCATTCATAATTTGCATTGATGTCTAATTTGCATGGATGTCTAATTGTTGTTCTTTTAAAATATTATGTTTTCAGTCAACTTGTGTGAGGCGGCCTAAATTTATTTTGTGCACTGGTGGGAATCCTTCAGCCTTCATCCCTACATATTCAAGCCAAGGTACAGCGTCTAGGTAAGTAATATTTTTTGTTTTTTAATGTTTCCTTGTTGATAAATTAAGCACCTTCTGTTTCTTAACAGACTACAATTATTTGTACTATAAGAGTCGTAAAATGATATATATTCTTAACCAGTGGATTCTCTGCCGGAAGTATCTGGAGAAACTTGTCTTCATGGATTCCACAGAGGGAAACATCTGCACAGGTTTTGTGTTTTTTTTTTTCTTCCACTTGTGTTAAGGGTGTTTTACCCTTCAATTCAATCTTTAAAATTGCACACTTCGTTGTAATCTTTAACCCACGGTGTTTGGTGAATGTAGATTAAGTTATTGAATTTGATGACTTCCTATTGTAATAATGCAGTCAGCACAAGACGGTCACATGTTTCCTGGGAGGGGAAGAACACTTGGATCTGGTCGAAATACTGCTTCTGATGCTAATTCAGAATCAAACTTACAGGTTAGACTTTTGGATAATAGCAACTCAGAACATCCATCAGACATGGCAGTTATTGGCACAGGACAGCAGTTATCTGATGGAAGGTACTAGGAAAACTTCCTGCTTCTAGGTTAACGAGCTATTTCTGTTCATGGATTGTGTTTTTCAGTTTACAAGAAATTTGGTAGTTAGTTCATCACTTGTAAAGGCTTTCTTGTTCTTTCACTCATGCATTTTTATATTGAATGGATTCAGAAGAGGTTTTCTCGTTGGTGAGAAAAGATATGTAAACTGAGGTTACACTATCGCAATAGTCTTTCAAGTTGATTAAGATGCATGAGTGATTTTTTTCCAGATGTGGCAAAGGTTATAATGGTAGTGGTTGTGGTGGTAATGGTGATTATGGCAGTAACGTTGTTAATGATTAATCACTACTAATGGCTTGTTGTAAAGATGGAAAGTTATCTTGCCTATGATTAATCACTAGGGATGGCATGTTTAGAGATAGGGAAAGAACTTGTATGTGCTATCAAATACAAAGGAATGTCTTTACTTTTGTGAATTGGACAGTAAACCCATCACTCCTAACCTCGGGTCTGAGTCATGTTTAAATAGTGCAAAAACAGAATTTTTACATTAGTTTGTTATTCTAAGAGTTCCCAAGCATGCATTTGACTGGAAAATGGTACTATCTATTTCCTTGATATTTTCAGGCGGTCAACCCTAAATAATACAGCAGTCGCTGCAGCAGAAGTTCCTGTGCACCATCAGGTTTGTCCTTTTAATTAATAAGTTGAGTTTTCCTTTCAACATCTTCCAGCTCATCTGATTTACACATATATCTTGGTTTACTTGTCATTTGGGTGCAGGATTATGTTGTTTCTGAAGAAGAAATCCAGAAGCTTGTATCAATGGGCTTTGAAAGGGTAAAAAAATTGAAAATTCCTTTTCCTTGATCAAATGAGCTAACCATCCTATATAGTATACGTTTTCCTTAACTAGCTTGATTCATATTCGTAGAGTTGAAGAATGCAATGCTAGTTATGAAAAATGTTTTAGGATCGAGGAGCATAGTTTTATGTTCAGCATTATAGCTGATGCTTGCTTTAATGAATGAATGTCAATAAATGTCTTGGTATGGGTTACAGACACAGGTAGAAGTTGCTCTAGCAGCTGCAGATGGGGATCTTAATGTGGCAGTGGAAATTCTGAGCCAACAGGTCTGTCTTTAAACTCATTTATTTCCCAAATTGTTGACTGTTGTTGAGATTTCATGGTTTAATAATGGGGATTGGGAATTATCTGCAGGGCTAATCCAAGCAAGCGAGCTAACTATTTGACTTCTCAAAATGGACCTCGGTCAACCCGGTTTGATGGGCCCGGTTCATTTTCACGTTTATGTAAAGTTCCATGTTTATTTTCACGTTTATGTAAAGTTCCATGTCTGTATACTCTGTATTGTTTGAGAGCATGCTGAGATTATTTGGCCTGGGGGAAAGAAGATTCTGAATGGGATATCACTATACACACTAACATCTGTTTAAATGAAAGCACAGAAGTAGTTTATAACATGTTTGACAGCAATGGAAAAACTAGAGTTGTAATATAACATCCACACTTCTTGTATCATGCTTCGACTTAGGGCCTATTTGGTAGTGCTTTTTTCGAAACGCCTATCTAATTTGAGATAGGACTTCAATTTTGAGTAAAATTTTTTGTTGTGGTTATAATAAAAGTGGTCCTAGAGCAGATTTGCTTCTAGATAACCACTCCCAAATGGGAGCAAAATGTTTTCTACATAAGCATTTGTAATGATTACATGAAAAGGAGCTTTTTCAATTCACACCAAATGTTATTTATTGATACATTTCATTTTCATACATAAAAAGCTACTTCTTTCCAGACTCCTTCGATGGCTTTCCAGACTCCTTTGGTGGCTTCACAATTACAACTGGGCATTTTGCATGATGTGCGCAGTAGTCACTCACGCTTCCTATGAATGCTCTGCACCACCCAACGAAAAACAAAATTAAATTAAATTAATGATGCAAATAAAACAGAATTAATGTTTTTTGGATTTTGAGTGACAATTGTAAGCAGGAATTCCAAATGAACATTAATAAGAAACTCACCTCTTGACCATGCCAAGGCCACGGCTGCCTACAACCAAAAGATCCACATGCATCTGCTCTGTGGCTTCACAAATCATGTCCTTCGGATCTCCACTTAGAATTAGGGTTTCTGCTTTGATCTGCACAATTACTAGAATCATGTTAGTTAACTTCACCCAAATGCATCACAAAAACTCTCATCTAATTATCTGAACCCATAATTAAAATCATTAATGAAGAATCTCTCACGCTAATCTATTGAGGGATCTTAAACTCACGTAAAGAATCTCTCATGAGACTCGACTCGCATTGTATTTCCACGATCAGAACCATCAATTTTTTAAGTTTCATTCTTAAATTTAAAAGGATGTTTTAAGTTTCATTCTTAGATTTGAAAGGATGGACAATTTGCAACCCTTAAAAGACATCTAATTATCACCCACAAATTCGATTAACACGGTGTTTCAAAAAAAAATAACAACCATTTAAGCAAGTGTCCTTCAAATAAACTTACACCAAGTGAGAGTGATAAACTAATTAATTACCATCTTATCCTTGCAAATCTCCAAGGCGCGGGCGAGTATAGCGGCAGCCCTTTCTTCTTGTTCTTTGCGCAATTCAGCAGACCCAGCAGCAGGGAGGACGTAGTTCTGGAACGGCTGCATAACATAAACCAGAGTCACCATACTCACACTCTCATGGCTCCCTGCATGAGGTGCTTCCAGGGTCTCCGTGCGTGTGCTTGTAGCCACATCATCGGCGTTGTCCTTGGGCCCCACAAGAAGAAGGTCAAGGGCCCACTTGAGCGCATAGAAGCTCCCCTCACTTCCGTCCATGGCCACCATCACCCTCATCTTCTTCTTCTTCCCCTGTTGCTCGTCGACGTCGTCCCTGCTTTGCACCACTGCCTGCTCTGCAACTGTTGTTGTCTGCATCACTTGCTTGGCTGAGATATCTTCTTCTTCTTGTTGTTGTGTGGTTTTGTTGGTGCTTTTGAATGGTATATATATGTATATATGTCGGTCTCTTTTTCTTAAAGGTGAATTTCCATTTGTTTGTTTGGATTGGAGGTACAAGGACACGTTTATGTACGTGGCAACCATGCAAATAGAAAAATCCAATTCCTCATGCAATTTTGGCATTTCTGTGGGTATATGAGATGAGATAGACCTCGACGCAACTCTTTGTGTTTTACTATTCGTGTCGTGTCATCCTCGTGACCTGTGAAATTCTTCTCAATTTAAATTTAATTCGTAATATGTAAACTCAAGCTTATTTGTGAAAGTAACACATCGTGTCCTGTTTTAATTATCTGTTGACACTTGGAAAGTCAGGTGGTTTTATCTGTCGACACTTGAATTCAGGTGGTCAACTGAGGACTTTTGATCGGATCACAGTCAGATTTTTGTTGGGTCAGAACATAATGGATGATCTTCTTCTTCTTGTGGTCTCCGCATTCGCATAAAGTAGAACATGTCACCAAAGAAGCACTGGTGTAGTACCAGTCAACTTTTTCTGATGTCAATGTCATAATTTAGTAAAGGCAGTGTTTGAGAGAGCAAATGATCAACATAATTTCTGGGAGTAGAGAAGTTATTACCTTGTTTGAATGTAAGTCAGGAATATTTATAAGAGATGAAGGAGAAGTAGAACTCCTGGCAGGAGGGGTGTCTAGCCATGCTGCCATCATGGTTAGAGGGAGTGATTTTGGCATCATAAGTTGTTGTGCTTGTTACAAAAGGGAGACCAGCCAATGGGGAGACTGCTAAAATATGAATATGGTTTTGAATGTATTAGGTTCTTTTTATTCTTCTCCATAATGAGATATATAAGAGTTTACATGAGTGCTTTACAAGGAATTAGATCCAGTAAATGATTAGGAAAGTATCTCCTAATTATACAATGATTTGATAAGTACTAAATAAAATAAGAAAGTAAATCCCTTAATTAATCAAGAAAATAAATCTATAAAATAGGAATGTAAATCCCTTAATTAATCAAGGAAATAAATCTCCTTGATTAATTAGGAGACTCACTTCAACACTCCCCCTCAAGTTGGTGCATATACATCACAAATGCCCAACTTGGTAAGTGAGTCATGAAATTCATAGCACCCAAATCGATAATCCATGCGAATCTTTTGAGAACATTAATCCTTTTCCAAGGGTTAACTTTAAGTACCTTAAGATTCGATCAACTGCATTCCTATGAGACACATTGTGCCCATGTGCCATTCTTCTGGAGAGCTCGCATTTCTTCATTCATGACTTCTTTCTATTTTTGGTCTTCTAGTGCTTCAGTTACACTGTTGGGAACAGGTATGTCGGCTAACTGCTTCACAAAGTGTACCCGTGATTCTGATAATTTGTTGAGGGATATATAATTGTTGATGGGATATTTCCCCTTTGCATTAAGATCTGCTTCGTAGTGAACTGGAGGTTTACCACGATTCTTCCATTTTTGGAATCTGATATGCAGGCTCTGTGCCTTCTGAATGACGTCCTCAGCAGGTGATTGGTGTGGTATTGGAGCTGAAGAATTCTCCAAAGCGGGCACAAACTCCTCAATTTTCTCCTCCTGAGTGTGATGGCAGGGAGATGACTGAAGCGGAAAAAAATCTCATAAGACGGTTCAATTTCCTCCTCCTGATTTTGACAGCGTGGAGAAAATTGATCGTTTTCCTCTGGTGACCGGTCGCTGGATTTTGGCAGCCGGTCGGTTTGAAACAGCTTCTCTGGCTACCAGTCGCTTTCCACTGGCGACCGGTAGTTTTGAAGCAGATTCTCCGTGTTCAAAGAACTAAGGAGGGGCCGGTCGCTTTCGACTGGCGACCGACCATTTGATTTAGGAACTTGATTTGAGGAATTTGATGTATGAATTTGATGTAGGAATTGAATTTGGATTCGGATTCAGGTTGGAAGGTTGGGATTCAGTGGTTTTGGAAACGATATCCATGACAGCGGAAGGATTTAAAAATAAGAGAAAAAAAATGTGTTTAGGGTTTCGGGATAAAAGTATATGAGGATGTGGGTATGAAGATATGAATCTGAACAAGGAATTTGATTTAGGATACGAGGATACGATACGAGGATATGAGGAAATTCGATACGAGGAATATGATTTGTGTTTCAAGAAAATTCGATACAAGGATTTACAGAAACCTTGTGAACATGGCTAAGAACACAGAAACCCTGTGAACACGGCTAAGGACACAAACCCTGTGAACACGGCTTAAGAACATAGAAACTTCTCTTCAATCCTCTTCTCCCCCTGAAGAGAATTGTATGTCGGAGTCAAGAAAGAGGCAAAATCTCCATGAGAACGAGAAACATATCCTTTTTCACTCCCCCTCCCCCCCTTGAAGGGGAAAGGAGGAGAAATTTTGATATGAGAATTTAGAGACAACCGAGGATCAATTGCTCTGATACCATGCTAAAATATGAATATGGTTTTGAATGTATTAGGTTCTTTTTATTCTTCTCCATAATTAGATATATATAAGAGTTTACATGAGTGCTTTACAAGAAATTAGATCCAGTAAAGGATTAGGAAAGTATCTCCTAATTATACAATGATTTGACAACTATATAAAATAAGAAAGTAAATCCCTTAATTAATCAAGGAAATAAATCTATAAAATAGGAATTTAAATCCCTTAATTAATCAAGGAAATAAATCTCCTTGATTAATTAGGAGACTCACTTCAACAGAGACCTGAAAGGAAGTAGGAATACATTAAATTCTCTCTCCAACCATATGGTGACACATGTTCGTGTTGGTGAGCTTTGGGAGGTGGCTACTAGGTCCCAACTACCCTTAGTTCCAGAGCCGGAGCAGAAAACCCACCTCCAACCATGCTCCCTATCCAACTCTTAAAATAGGAAGACCAAGCAATACGTCTCACATCAAGCAATACATCACACAACCCTTCAATGCTGCAACTGTTTGCAATATTGATACTCAGTGGCGGACCTGTGCAGGCGCAAGGAGGTGCACCTGCACCTCCACTCGCCGGAAAACTCCATTAGAGGTGCTGGAGTTGCACCTCTGCTCAAACTAGAGACGCACGCAAAGTGTTCGATGAAATGTCGGAAGGCCTGGGCGCTGCGCGCAGCAAGCAGGCGCTCCTTTTTTTTTAAACAAAGCCTGGCCAAAACGACGTCGTTTTGGACCAGGGTTTTAAAAAAAATAAATAAACAGAAAGGGAAAAGTGCTGGGCCATTACGTGGGCTTTTAAAAGGGCTTCTATAATTCCTTATTTTATTGGGTTTCTCTTTATTTAATTGGATTTTAATAGGGTTTGCACAATTCCTTATTTAAGTGGGATTGAGAATGACCAATTTAACATCACCCAATTTTATCAAAGTCTGCGTGCATCACAAGAATCCTGCGTTTGTTTTTTTTTTCCTTATTGAGTACGCCAATCCAAAGTAAGTCGGATGCATATATTTTTTTTCTTGAGCAAATGCCAATTTTTTTATTCTACTTTTAATTTAAAAAAAAAATTCTTATTTAGCTCTCTCTGTATTAGTAAGATCAGTAGCAAGCTCTCTCTCTCTCTCTCTCTCTGTTTTTTTTTTTTTTTGAGCTTTTAGCTTTTAAAAATTGCATCTCCGTTGAAAAATTATTGGGTCCGCCGCTGTTGATACTTACCAAGGAATTCTCTTCCCATTTATGTATTAGTGTCGTGGCCGTATATGAGAACTTTTTTGCATACGTGAAGGCATAGAAAAGTGTACAAACGTCGTTGCAAGGAGAGCTGTGAAGGCTGAAATTAATGTTTAGATTTATTGGGACTGTTAGGTTTGGGCATGCTGTGATCATTTTGTTCTTGTTTGTATAACTTTGAGTTGCTGCCTTCCACGCAAAAAATTCAATGGAAAATATTTAAACAATTTTTTTTTCTTTGTGACACGATTTTTGGATCAAAGTAAATTGATTGTTGGTTTGCTTATTCGTATGAACCAATCTTTGAATCAGAATAAATTGTTAAGATGCCGTTTGCTTCAACATTTGTTTGGATGAGGACCAAGAAGACATATGAGATTGCTAAAGGTCAAACGGGGAAGAGGGGAAGGAGAAGAGGTGTGAGTAATGAAAATTTTTGAAGGAGGAGGCCATGGAAGATCTGAGAAGGAAGGAAAGGAAGGCGTGGAGAAGAATTTATTTATTTAGGGTTTAAGTTTTATTTATTTTTAATTAAATAATTAAATTAATTTTGGCCAAAAAAATTAAAACTTAACTAATAAAAAATAATGTGACATATGACACGAGTAAATAGTCTATGTCAGGTGTTTGGTGTCAACTTGTATTATTTAATTACTCGACTATTTGATACGGGTTGGGCTTTTAATACTCTCCTTACCTGACTAAGGGCTCGTTTGGGAATGCTTCTCTAGGAAGTACTTCTGCTTATAAGCGCTTCTAACAAAAGCGCTTTTATTATAAAAATCTTGAATTTTCATAAAAAATTAAATTGCTTCGTGGAAAAGCACTTGGGAGTGCTTCCTGAAGAAGCACATAGCAGGTGCTTCTCCAAGAAGCGCTTCTATGACCCAAAAGCGCTTCTAAATTTTTTTGCCAAATGCTGTCAGAAGCGCTTTTAGTTATTAGAAAGCGCTTTTTGCCCTTTCAGAAGCACTCCCAAACAGACCCTAACTAATACAACCCACACACCCCGGTTTAGATAATACATGCTTAATTATACGGCTAGGAAAAAAGAACACGCGTTCTACGAAAAAAATCAGACGCTCTTTTCATCTTCTTCTCCCTAGGGTTCTTCTCTGCTATCTTCTCCATAGGTTATTTTCTTCACTCTTCTCCAGGTATCCATCTCTCACTCTCTCTCTTTTTCATACTCTCTTCAATATGCTTCTTCTCTAATCTTTATATATTTCAATTTTTTATTACATTTTTGTGGAAATTAGGTTATGAATTTTTCTTTTTTGACATTTTTTTTAAACGAATGTTTTCTTTGTATGTGATAT